AGAGCAGCCAGGATGGAAACCAATGCCACAGTACTGGCCCTCTGACTTCTTCTTTTCTTTTTTCTTTTTTTTTTTTTTATTTTGACAGGCAGAGTGGACAGTGAGAGAGACAGAGAGAAAGGTCTTCCTTTGCCGTTGGTTCACCCTCCAATGGCCGCCATGGGCGGCGCACCGCGCTGATCCAAAGGCAGGAGCCAGGTGCTTCTCCTGGTCTCCCATGGGGTGCAGGGCCCAAGCACCTGGGCCATCCTCCACTGCACTCCCTGGCCACAGCAGAGAGCTGGCCTGGAAGAGGGGCAACCAGGACAGAATCCGGTACCCCGACCGGGACTAGAACCTGGTGTGCTGGCACCACAAGGTGGAGGATTAGCCTAGTGAGCCACAGCGCCGGCCTAGACTTCTTGTTTTCAAGGTTGGTCCATGTTGTAGCACACATTAATACATCATTCCTTTTAGAGGCTGAATGATATTCTATCATACGGATAAGGCAAATGCCACTCCGAACATCTGCCTACAAGTTTTATGTGGAGTCATAGTTTCCATTTATTCATTTAAATTATGGCCAAAATAAAATGTATGCACTACCATTGGTTGATAACTCATTTCAGTCTCTATAGTTTTCCCTTTCATTCCTTTGTTTTTCTATTTTATTGAAGATAAAGTCACTTGTACAGTTTCAGAAATCTGGATTTTGCTGTTCTATCCACTTAGCATAATTTAACATGTTCTTCTGATGTCTTAGTTTCATAAATTGGTAGATAGGTGTAGAGGTTTGATCAGGTACAGAGTTGATTCCCATGAGGGAGGCAAGATTACACTGTAGATAATGTGAAATTCTGACACAGTGTCACTTATCTTTTTTTATATTATAGTAGGCATATACTTATATTAAATATATAATTATATTAAATATATAATTTTATATGTTAATAGGCATTGATGCGTACAGCCTCATGGAATGAAAAATAAGGATAATCTCTTTATTAGCTGGATTAGGATGTCAAGAAAAAACCCTGCGTCATTTTGTTATCTTGTGATTCAGTTTGTATTTAAAAAACAGGAAGAAATTATTTAGTAGCTTTAAAAGTGGGTTGAGGGGCCCTCATTGTGGCATAGCAGGTTAAGCTGCCATCTAGGATGCTCATATCCCACTGGGGTGGTGGTTTAAGTCCCACTGCTCCTCTTCCAACCCAGATCCCTCCGAATAGACCTGGGAAAGCTGCAGAAGATGGCCCAAACTCTTGGGCCCCTGCCACGCATGGGGACACATGGATGGAGTTCCAGGCTTCTAGCTTCGGTCTCACTCAGCCCCCTGGTCATTGTGTCCATCTGGGGAGTGAACCAGTGAATGCAAGCACTCGCTCTCACTCTACCTTTCCAATAGTTTTTTTTTTTTTTTTTAAAGTGGGTTGGCTCACTATCCTCTCATGAGGGTATTTGTGGATTTAAAAATGATCTCAATCGCTTCTTGGCCTTTTGGCTAAGATCAAGTGTAAAAATGATCTCAAGACTTGGTTCAATACCTGAATCTGTCTCCTGACTCCAGTTCCTAATGGCAAGTGTTAGCTGCAGTAATTAGCGTCTGGCCAACACGTGGGAGACTGGCCTGAATTCCCAGCTGCCGATTTTGGCCTCCCCTAGCCCCGGCAGTTCCTGACATTTGGGTAATTAATCAGCAAATGGGAGCTCTCCCCCTCTTTCTCTGTCTCTTCAATAAATAAGTAAAGAAAAATTAAACATGAACTCGAGGATCAAACATATTTTATATATTCCAAACCAGTGGAGTTACTGTTATTATCTTCTCTTTGGCTACTGGGTCTTTTAAAAATTTATTTGGCCGGCGCTGCGGCTCACTAGGCTAATCCTCCGCCTTGTGGTGCCGACACACTGGGTTCTAGTCCTGGTCGGGGCGCCGGATTCTGTCCTGGTTGCCCCTCTTCCAGGCCAGCTCTCTGCTGTGGCCAGGGAGTGCAGTGGAAGATGGCCCAAGTGCTTGGGCCCTGCACCCGCATGGGAGACCAGGAGAAGCACCTGGCTCCTGGCTTCAGATCAGCGCAGTGCACCGGCCGCAGTGTGCCGGCCGCAGCGGCCAATGGAGGGTGAACCAACAGCAAAGGAAGAACTTTGTCTCTCTCTCTCTCACTTTCCACTCTGCCTGTCAAAAAAAAAAAAAAAAAAATTTATTTGAGCTGGTGCCGCAGCTCACTAGGCTAATCCTCCGCCTGTGGCGCCAGCACTCTGGGTTCTAGTCCCGGTTGCTCCTCATCCAGTCCAGCTCTCTGCTGTGACCCGGGAAGGCAGTGGAGGATGGCCCAAGTCCTTGGGCCCTGCACCCACAAGGGAGACCAGGAGGAAGCACCTGGCTCCTGGCTTCGGATTGGCGAAGCATGCCGGCCATAGCGGCCATTTGGGGGGTGAGCCAACAGAAGGAAGACCTTTCTCTCCGTCTCTCTCTCTAACTCTGGCTGTCAAAAAAATATATATATATATTTGAAAAACGGATCTCCTATCTACTGTTTCATTCCTGAAATGCCTCCAACAGCAAGGGCTGAGCCAGGCTGAAATCAGGAACCCAGAGCTCCATCTGGCTCTCCCACATGGGTGACGGAGACTCAGCTACTTGAATCGTCATCTGCTGCCTTCGAGGATGTGCGTGAGTAGGGAGGTGGGACTCAAATCCAAGCCCTGATACAGGATGCAGGTTTCTCCAAGCGGCATCTGAACCACTGTGCCAAATGCTTGCCTCTCACCCATGGTTCTCGCTGGTGACTTAACTTCCCAAGTCTTTTGACATGACTCAGAGTCTGACAGCTTCCTTGATGTCTACGTCTGATGTAAGATTGATTCTAGGCTCCTTTGTGCATTTCTTGTCCCCACATCTGGAATTCTTGGTTACTTTGGTGGGAAATCCTATCTCAAGACTGTTATCCAAGGGCCAGTGTTGTGGTGTAGCAGGTAAAGCCGCCACCTGTGACACCAGCATCCATGTGGGTGTCGGTTCAAGTCCTGGCTGCTCCAGTTCTGATCCAGCTCCCTGCTAATGTGCCTGAGAAAGCAGTGGAAGATCGCTCGAATCCTTGGGCCCCTACATTCATGTGGGAGACCAGAAAAAGCTCCTCGCTTCAGTCTGGTCCAGCCCTAGCCATTGCAGCCACTTGGGGAATGAATCAGCAGGTGGAAGCATGCTCTCTCTGTCTCTCCTATCTCTCTGTAAGACTGTTATCCAGGGGCAAGAAAGTGCAATCCCATAGACTTCTTGATGGTTTCTAGGCCTCTTCAGTAGAAGTATGTTTTAAAATAAATATATATTATGACTTCATACACAAACATGCTACACTTGGGGCCAGGGTTGTGGTGCAGTGGGTTAAGCAGCTGAGACTCCACAGGTTGGAGTCCAGATTGCTCCACTTCTGATCTGGCTCCCTGCTATTGCACCTGGCCCGAGTGCTTGGGAGCTCCTGGCTCCTGGCTTTGGCCTCGCCCAGCCCCAGCCATTTGGGGAATGAACCAGTAGATTTCTTTCTGTCTCTCCCTCTCTCTCTGCAACTCTTTCAAATAAATAATTTTTTAAAATTGCCATGCAAGTTCAGGACCACAGGATTTTTTATTTTTAATATTTATTTTATTTGAAAAGCAGAGTTACAGAAAGGGGGAGACAGATCTTCCATCCACTGGTTCACTCCCCAAACAGCTGCAACGGCCAGCTGGGCCAGACGGAAGCCAGGAGCTTCTTCTAGGTCTCCCTCATGGGTGGCAGAGGCCCAAGCCCTTGAGTCATTTTCTGCTGTCTTCCCAGGCCATCAGCAGGGAGCTGGATTGGAAGTGGAGCATCCAGCATGCAAACTGGTATCTTGTAACTGAACCTGCTACACCACAATGCCAGCCCCAGACCACAGGGTCTTACTTATCCTCCTCTACAAGAGGACTTCAAAAGTTCATGGAAAATGGAATTAAGATGTTTATTTGGGGCTGGAGTTGTGACGGTTAAGCCAGCACTTACAACGCTGGCATCCCATTTTGAAATGCCTGCTCTGCTTGCAATCCAGCTTCCTGCTAATGTGGCTGGGAAGACAGCAGATGGTCCAGCTGCTTGGGTCCCTGCCACCCACCTGGGGACCCAGATGGAGTTCCTGAGTCTTCTTGGCTTTAGCCTGGCTCAATACTGGCTGCTGCAGCCATTTGGGGAGTGAACTGAGCCACAACAGTGGCCCCATTACAGTTCTTCTTGCTACTGCAAATAGTATTATAAGGAATAACAGCCTCATGAATACATTTTTTAAGAAAGATTTTTTACTTATTTGAAAGACAAAGTGACATGGAGACAGAAAAGATCATCACTGGTCCACTCCCCAAATGGCTGCAACAGCCAAGTCTGGGGCAGACCAGAGCTATGAGGTGAGAACACCATCAAGGTCTTCCATGTAGGTAACAGGAATGCAAACGCCATTATCTGCTGCTTTCCAGGCTCATTAACGGGGAGCTGGACAGGAAATAGAGTAGCCAGTACTTGAACCAGGCACTCCAATATGGGATGCTGGCATCTCAAGCAGCAGCTTTATCCACTGCCAAACACAGCCCCTGTGAATACATTTTAAAAATACTGGGGGGTGGGGGCTGTGGCACAGCGGGTTAACACCCTGGCCTGAAGCACTGGCATCCCATATGGGCGCTGGTTCAAGACCTGGCTGCTCCACTTCCGATCCAACTCCCTGCTATGGCCTGGGAAAGCAGTAGAAGATGGCCCAAGTCCTTGGGCCCTTGCACCCACGTGGGAGACCCGGAAGAAGCTCCTGGCTTCTGATCAGAACAGCTCCAGCCATTGCGGCCATCTGGGGATTGAACCAGCGGATGGAAGACCTCTCTGTCTTGACCTCTCTGTAACTCTTTCAAATAAATAAATCTTAAAAAAAAATTAAAAACATTTATTTGAAAGAATTCCAGAGAGGGGAGAGAAAGAAAGAGCTTCCATCCGCTGGTTCATTCCCAAAATGGCTGTGACAGCTGGGCCGATCCGAAGCCAGGAAGCCTGAAGAGGAGCTTCGTCTGGGTCTCCCACATGGGAGCAGGGGCCCAAATACTTTGGCCATCCTCCTCTGCTTACCCAGGCACATTAGCAAGGAGCTGGATTGGAAGTGGAGCAGCCGGGACTTGAACTGGTGCCCACATGGAATGCCTGTGAATCAGGTGGCAGCTTCACCCACTATGCCACAGCCCCGGTTCCTAGTAAGCTTTTTAAAATGTCATTGTTACGGCCGGCGCCGCGGCTCACTAGGCTAATCCTCCGCCTAGCGGTGCCGGCACACCGGGTTCTAGTCCCGGTTGGGGCGCTGGATTCTGTCCCGGTTGCCCCTCTTCCAGGCCAGCTCTCTGCTGTGGCCAGGGAGTGCAGTGGAGGATGGCCCAGGTGCTTGGGCCCTGCACCCCATGGGAGACCAGGAAAAGCACCTGGCTCCTGGCTCCTGCCATTGGATCAGCGCGGTGTGCCGGCCGCAGCGCGCTGGCCGCGGCGGCCATTGGAGGGTGAACCAACGGCAAAGGAAGACCTTTCTCTCTCTCTCTCTCACTGTCCACTCTGCCTGTCCAAAAAAAAAAAAAAAAAGTCATTGTTACTATGGTTGATAGTGCATAATACTGCTTTTCACTTTTATATATTGATCTTGTTATCTTGTGACCTTGCTACGTCTTAAGTTCTAGTAGTTCCTTCTAAGCTATGTGACTTTTTCTTCCCTTACTGCTCTGGCTAAGCGTTCCAACCCAATTTTGAATTTAAGTGGCAAAAGCTGATATTCTCTTCTAGTTCATGATCTTAAGGTTAAGTTTCTAATCATTCACTATGATGCAGAATCTTCAGGTAATATGCCTAAATGTTCTTTATAGGGTTGAGGAAGTTTCCTTTTCTAACTTCATGAGTTTTATCATAAACAGGTCTTGGATTTTATCAAGTAATTTTTCTGTCATCATATGGCTTTATTAGTATGTTACATTGTATAATTTCAAATGTTAAACCAACTTTTCATTCCTGGGATAAATCCTACTAGGTTATGAGCTTTTTATATGTTGAGAAGTTTGGTTTTTAAATTCTAACTCATTTGATGTTATTTGATGAGCCCTTCATCCTGTCAGACCTTTCAGTACTAACCACAATTTCAAGTCAGTGGTCTGAGTGATGATGCTACTGCTAGTTATATCCCCTTTGTGACTTACAGGTTTTGTTCAGTTGCGTGCCTACAATGTGCCGGACATCATGCAGTGTTGGGGATGCATTATAGGACAGAACCAAGCCCATGTCTTCACAGCACTCATGAAGACAATCAAAAGGTAATACGGGGTGCATCTGCAATCTAAATAAAGGGAATCCAAGATAGTAAAAATAATTTTCTAAAGCTTTAAAAAGGCCCCTGGAGGAAGTGACCATAAGCATAAACTGATGTAACACTGTCACCAAATAACTTACCATCCAGAAAGGGACACTTTTGAGACTGAAAGGCAGGCATAAATTAGAATGTATGGTTGTCTAGCGATTAACCAAAGGACAAGAATATCTAAAGCAAGAAAAAAACTATGTGAAAGATATAGCTCATTAAAGTAACTAAAACATTCAATGCGGCGGTATGTGAAGAGGTAGGGGAAGCAAGTTAGGCCAGAAAAGCAAACAAATTCTAAAAGCCTTGTAAATCAGACAAGAGCCTGGGGTTTTATTCCAAGAGTAACAAACATTGTAAGCACAGCATGAAAACGTTAACTGCTTACAATAAGGAAGAAGTATGAGCAGAGAACTTAGCAAAGAACATGTGGGGTGAAATGAAGGCTGAGTGCCTAAGGAATGGGTGTTGGGGTCATGGAAATGTTCAAATGGTGTTTGCAAAACTGTACTCTTTAGATGGCCAAATGCAGGAGTTTCATCTAGGTCTCCCATGTGGGTGGCAAGAGCCCAAATACTTAGGCCATCTTCCACTGCTTTCCCAGGACATTAGCAAGGAGCTGGATAGGAAGTAGAGCAGCAGGGTCTTGAAGAACTGGCACCCATATAGGATGCAGGCGGAAGTTTTACCTGCTATGCCATAACCTTTGGGAGCCAGTAGAATCTTAGAGTTTTTTTTTTTTTTTTTTTTTTTTTTTTTTTTTTTTTGACAGGCAGAGTGGACAGAGAGAGAGAAAGGTCTTCCTTTGCTGTTGGTTCACCCTCCAATGGCCGCCGCGGACGGCGCACCGCGCCGATCTGAAGCCAGGAGCCAGGTGCTTATCCTGGTCTCCCATGGGGTGCAGGGCCCAAGTACTTGGGCCATCCTCCACTGCACTCCCGAGCCACAGCAGAGAGCTGGCCTGGAAGAGGAGCAACCGGGACAGAATCCGGTGCCCCGACCGGGACTAGAACCTGGTGTGCCGGTGCCACTAGGCGGAGGATTAGCCTATTGAGCCGCAGGGCCGGCCCTTAGAGCATTTCTGAAAAGGCTGGGGGGGCCGGCGCTGTGGCACAGTGGGTAAAGCTACCGCCTGCAGTGCCAGCATCCCATATGGGCACCGGTTTGAGTCCCTGCTGCTCTACTTTCTATCCAGCTCTCTGCTATGGCCTGGGAAAGCAGTAGAAGATGGCCCAAGTCCTTGGGCCCCTGCACCCACCTGGGAGACCTGGAAGAAGCTCCTGGCTCCTGATCAGCACAGCTCTGGCCATTGCAGCCAATTGGGGAGTGAACCAGTGGATGGAAGCTCGCTCTCTCGGCCTCTTCTCTGTGTAACTCTTTCAAGTAAAATAAATAAATCTTTAAAAAAATAAAAAGGCTGGAAAGGGTGAAATTTTTAATACAGACCCTTAACATTTGTATTCCTTAAACGGTTACAAGCAGCAGTAATGGCGGATGCAAGCAGATCTGGTGAGGGATAGTTGTTTGTCCTGTGAAACAGAAGCAATCTGCTTATGGAGGGAGAGGGGTGGGGAGGGTGAAGATTTAATGAGACCGGAATTTCAAACTGTTAGGATGGACCTAGCAGAGGACAATACCTAGAAAGTACAGCAAGGCGCCAACCTGTGCCATTATGTGATTTTCTGTAGCAATGCTCAGCAGTCCAAGTTGAGAGAGATGACAAGCAAATTCATTTAATGTTCAAGTTGTCAGTTACAAATTAGCAACAGCAAAAATGATCAAAAACATTGATCATTTTTTAAGTACATTAAGACCAACATGAACACCTGACCAGGTAACAACATTATGGTAAAAGGTACTAAGGATGTGGCAAGGGACTTTTTAACACATATAAGAGGTGATAATCAGAAACGTTTGACTTGGGACCAGCGCTGTGGCACAACAGGTTAAAGCCCTGGCCTGAAGCACCAGCAACCCATATGGGCGTCAGTTCTAATCCTGGCTGCCCCACTTCGATCCAGCTCTCTGCTATGGCCTGGGGTAGAAAATGGTCCAAATCCTTGGGCCCCCGCACCCATGTGGGAGACCTGGAAGAAGCTCCTGGCCTCAGATCAGCGCAGCTCCAGCCATTGTGGTCAATTGGGGAGTGAACCAACAGATGGAAGACCTCTCTCTACTGCTCTCTTTCAAATAAATCTTAAAAAAAAAAAAAAAAGGCCGGCGCCGCGGCTCACTAGGCTTATCCTCCGCCTAGCGGCGCCAGCACACCGGGTTCTAGTCCCGGTTGGGGCGCCGGATTCTGTCCCACTTGCCCCTCTTCCAGGCCAGCCCTCTGCTGTGGCCAGGGAGTGCAGTGGAGGATGGCCCAGGTACTTGGGCCCTGCACCCCATGGGAGACCAGGAAAAGCACCTGGCTCCTGGCTCCTGCCATCGGATCAGCGCGGTGCGCCGGCCGCAGCTCGCCAGCCGCGGCGGCCATTGGAGGGTGAACCAACGGCAAAGGAAGACCTTTCTCTCTCTCTCTCTCACTGTCCACTCTGTCAAAAAAACAAACAAACAAAAAAAAAAAAAAGTTTTTTTTTTTTTACTTAAAAGATATTGAACAACAGAAAAAGTCACAGGTGGAGTTGGGATGTGAACATTATTCTGAGTAGCATTAAAAAATATGGCAAGAAGCCTGAATGTAAGTTAAGCTTTATGGGAAAACAGTAAGATAAGGTTGTCATTTTAAGCAAAATAGTAGAGGGCCTTAAATGTGCTAAGAAAACTGACTTCATTCAGTAGACAGTGCAGAGTTTGTCTTTAAACACGGGAGGTGGTGTTTGGTCTAGTTGTAAAGATTAGTTAAAAAGTCCCTGTCCAACATCAGAGTGCCTGAATTCACTACCTGGCTCTGGCTCTTGACTTCAGCTTCCTGATAATGTGGGTCCTAGGAATAATGGTGATAGCTCAAGAGGTTGGGTTGTTGGCTTCTGCCTTTGGCCTCAGCCCAGCTGTGATGGACATTTGGGGAGTAAACCAGCAGATGTGAGCTTGCTAGAAAAAAAGTTTAAGTTAGAAAAAAATAAAATGTAAAGATGATCAATGACATGCTTTAGGGATACTAATAACTGAAAATCAATCTTTCTCATATTTAAGGTCTAAACCAACGGTACTCATGTGGGGATGCACCAGAGAACAACCTGCAGTGCTTCAGAGAGAGGGCTGAATCCACCCACCACAGCTGGTGTCCATGGCCTGTTGTGGATGAGGTTCAGGGATCAAGCTTTTCAAAGGTACAACAAAGGGATTTCTAGTTTGCTACCAGGGCTGAAAGCCACTGAATTAAGAGAAGCCTATACTCCTGTCTGCATGAGGTGTGTTCTAAGAACCCCCAGTAGGTTCCTGAAACCACTGAATGTACAAACCTTTATATTTGTTTTTTCCTACATGTTTATCTATGATAAAGCTTGTAAATGAGGCACAGTAACAGATCAAGAGATCAACAATACTATGAAAGGTGGATATGGTTGTCTGCAGCTACTGCAAAATGCCATCTCATAAGCAAGGTGGCCAGTAAGTAACTTTCGGGCAGCATCAGGCCTCTGCAGCATGGCGTGCTGGACAAAGGGAGGATTCAGGACAAGGAGAGACATCATGTTACTCAGAGTACTAGTGCAATATAAAACTTATGAATTGTTTAGTTTTGGAATTTACCATTTTCATATTTTTCAGACCCCTGTTGATTGTGGGTAAGAAACCGCAGAAAAATGAAACTACAAATAAGGGCGAATGCTACCATATATATGCAGACATATGTATCTATATAGATACCTCAAAGAAAATTCTTAAGAAACCACCTGCAACTAGTGAGGCTGACCCAATAAAATCAAAACTAAAACAGATGTTGAATATATACAATTTATTTAATAAATTAATGTCATTCAAAATACAGTGCCAGAACATTATGCAGTTGAACATGCTAGTAATGTTTGTCATGAAGCACCTGTGCTCATGTTAAATTGGCGGCGCCCCACTACTGCTAGTGGTTCCTGGGATTAATGCCAGAGCAGTGCGAGTTACCTGCTCTTCTGCACAGCTTGTGCAGAAAATTCCTGAACAGTTCACCTTCCTAATCCTACCCCCACAACACACACACACAACAGGTTAAAAAAAAAAAAAAAAAAAAAAAAAAAAACCTGACAGCTAACAGATAACCTGTACACAATCACTCTACAGTAATGCTTGTTATTAAATTAAGATGTAATGACCTGGTAAACCCACTATAAATCTTTAAGATGGAGAACTACATCAGCAGCAGGTAGTTATATGCATGAGCCAATGTTAATGTAATACAGAGTGGAGACATTTACTGATTAAAGCTCCACACAGACCCGCACAATGAGGGGCTAGCAATTCTTATTGCAAACCCAGCAATGTAAGTCCAAACCTGGTATATGACCAGTGGACTGGACAACCTGTATTCTAGATAGACAAGTATAAGTTAGTGGAAAGAGAATACATGCACCTAATAGGATAGTAAGACTGATCCTGCAGTCATAGCGTTCCCTGTGTAATACCATAAAACTATGGAAGATCTTCCTCAACCATAGACAGGATTTAGACAACAACTCTATACCAACATGGACGTTAGTGTTAAGTGCAGCTGAATTAATTACACTGGAAAAACTGTAATCCAAGACTTCAGAAAAGAAGCACAGGAATGAAATACACATACTAAAATAACCTCAGCACAATTTGTGATATACCACACTAAGAACAAGAAACTATTTTGTAAGTGAACTTTTTGAACTGTACATACACAGGGCTAACAATGTTAGATAATCCAGATTCTTATGCTCTCATGATACACGTGAAAGTTTCTCAATTACTGAATAACCTATTTCATATTATGGAAGCATATCTTTCTGTAAGACTCACTGATATATATTATACTGATGCAAATATTAAGTAGGGCATAAAAATAAAATTTATCAAAGATAGATTTTTATGTACTCATATTTAGTCCTTTCATAGCCTCTCATTTAGCAAACAAATGACAAAGCACATAAATCAGACGTGCACTCCCTGAACTCCAACTATACAGGTGGCAGTGCAACCATTTCTCCATCCAGTTCAAATTCCTCTGTCCCATCTGGCGAGAAGAGATAGGTTGGTGGTTTCCATGGAGATTCTTCAAGGCAGGACGGGTAAAGCTTCCCCACAGTGCATCGAAAATCTCTGCCCAAGTCCCACAGTACACGTTCAGATATATGTTGTCGCAGAGACCACCGGTCAAGTTCTACATCATACTGGTAGGTGACATACTTAGCTCGCTCATTTAAGTGTGTTTCCCGCATAAACACACACAGAGAATTTGAGATCACAACAGCTCTAACACAGGGGTCAGAGTACCTCTTAGCAGGGATGTTGGCTGCCATTTTCCACTCATTTTTATTCACATCATATATTTCCACAGTTACTGAAGACCCATCTACAGTGCCAGAAGGGAGTCTGATGCCAGAATTAGTAGCAATATGCAATCCTCCAATATAGAAAATTTTATCACCAAAAGCTGCAGCTGAAGCAAAGGACCTGCTAGTCTGTCTCATGGCCATTTCTACCCACGAATCAGACCTTGGAAAATAACAGTACATGAGGTTCAGTGTCATCACATAAATGCAATCATGAACCACAACAGCAGCACTCCACTGCCATGCACAAGGCAAAGGGCTTACCATGGTCCACTCATCCTTCTCAGTGTCATATCTTTCTACGGTCCTCCGATTAAGTTCTCCACCTACACTATCTCCTCCAATTGCATAGATGTAGCCTTCACAACAAACCAAAGATGGTTTTATGCGGACAAAAAGCATTGGCGTCTTTGGAAACCAGGTATTTTGCTGTGCGTCAAACCAATAAAAGCAATTCACAGTTCTGAAGGCAGTCTGAAGTTTACTTGTTTTACTATGATTCGTTTTTGTATTTTTAAGAGGAACTTGACCTCCTGCTATGTAGATGTCATTATCAGGAGTTACGACAGTCCCAACCTTATGCAAATCAGCTGGCGGGCTACACAGCTTGTAAACTTTTTCTGCCTGGGGGCTGTAACAGACAGAAGAGTAAAGACTACAAGGATTTTCTGAAGATGCTTCAATGAAAATCATCATCTCCTCTTTAGTCATCCCAAGTCTTGGTTTGAAAAACTTCGGCATGGACTTATAAAGACCTTGAACCACCACAGACTTATCATTGGGTGGCAAACCTTGAAACCAAGCTCTCTGTGTTACTTCTGAAAGTGCATCAATTCTGATTTGGCTAAGAACTGAAGACAAATACTGGGATCGTGATTCTGTGTTGTATTCCAGCCACAGCATAGCAGCTTCTCGAACTGTTTCTTCCTTTTCTACATTTAAATTGTCACTACTGAGGATGTCTATCAGTAGGTCATGTGATAGCTGCATGAACGCTTCCTGGTGATACACAGCAGTGAACTTATGCTCCACCATTCTTTTCGCACTCTGTTTTAATTCCTCACAACTGAAGAGATCAGCAAAACTTAACAATCGCACACAATTCTCGGCATTTATTTTTTTAATTAAATACTCTCGACAACGTTGCAACACATCTTCCACCTGAAACAAGAAGAGGGAAAAGGTTGATAAGGGCAGGACAGAGTATTTTTGATTGAGAAATGAAAGAGCATTTGTGAGCACATGCTCCCGTCTATTGTTCACTTCCCAAATGCCTACAACCAGCAGGATCTGGGTCAAGCCGAAGATAGGAGGTGAGAATTCAATTCAGTTCTTCCTTTTAATTCTGGTAGTTATTAGTTTTTTTTAAAAAAATTACCCAGTTGAGAGACAGCAAATGAGTGAGCAAGCAAGGGTAGGAACATGCACTCGCTCCTATCTGCTGCTTCACACCCCAATTCCCACAATCCAGGTCTCCACAAGGGTGGCAGGAACACAATCATTCACATTACTAATGGTTGTCGAGATTTTGCATCAGCAGGAAAGAGGAGTTAGGAGCTGACACCAAGTGTCAAATACATAGCATTTTTTAAAAAGATTATTTGAAAGGCAGTTACAGAGGCAGTGGGGGTTGAGGGTGGTCCTTTCATCCACAGGTTCACTCCCCAAACGGCCACAACAGCTAGAGCTGGGCCGACCTGAAGCCAGGAGCCTGGAGTTTCTTCCAGGTCTCCCACATGGGTGCAGGAGACCAAGCACTTGGGCCATCTCCACTGCTTTCCTAGGCCATAGCAGAGAGCTGGATCAGAAGTGTAGCAGCTGGGACTCAAATCAGCACCCATACTAGATGCCAGACGCGACACCAAAGAACCAGCCCCTAAATCCATAGCATCTTAACTGCTATGCCAAATGCCAACACAACAAATTTAAGTTTACAGAAGATATAGGTATAGGAAGCAGATCCCTATTACTATAGTTGTCCTTTTTAGATACATACAAGAGAATTTCACAAAGTTCAGGGGAAATGCAATTAAAAAATAAGTTTCTGTAGCAGACATTGTGGCAGAGTAGGTTAAGCCAGCTATTTAAGAGTCTCAGCTTCTCCACTTCTGATCTGGATTCCTGCTGCTGTGCCTGGAAAAGCAGACTCTCAAGTCCCTGCTACCTACGTGGGAGATCAGGATGGCTTTAGCCTGGCCCAGATGTTGTGGCCATTTGGGGAGTAAGCCAGTAGGTGGAAGATACATCTGTCATTCTGCCTTTCAAGTTAAAAAAAAAAAAATTTCAAGACTTTTGATTTATTTTAAAGAGTTACAGAGAGAGAAGGAGAGACAGCATCTCCCACCTGCTTGTTTACTCCCCAGATAGCCACACCGACTCGACTAAGGCCAGATCTGGCCAAGACAGAAGCCAAGAACTTCTTTCTGGTCTCTCACGTGGGTGTAGGGGCCCAAGCACTTGGGCCATCCTCCACTTTCTTCCCAGGTACATAAACAGGAAGCTGGATTGGAAGTGGAGTAGCTGGGTGTTGAACCATTACCCGGAAGGGATGCCGGCACGGGAGACGGGAGCTTAATCCACTGCACCACAGCACCAGCCTCTCAAATCTTTTTTAAAAGTTTCTTTTGGCCGGCGCCGCGGCTCACTAGGCTAATCCTCCGCCTAGCGGCGCCGGCACACCGGGTTCTAGTCCCGGTCGGGGCGCCGGATTCTGTCCCGGTTGCCCCTCTTCCAGGCCAGCCCTCTGCTGTGGCCAGGGAGTGCAGTGGAGGATGGCCCAGGTGCTTGGGCCCTGCACCCCATGGGAGACCAGGAAAAGCACCTGGCTCCTGGCTCCTGCCATCGGATCAGCGCGGTGCGCCGGCCGCAGCGCGCCAGCCGCGGCAGCCATTGGAGGGTGAACCAACGGCAAAAGGAAGACCTTTCTCTCTGTCTCTCTCTCTCTCACTGTCCACTCTGCCTGTCAAAAACAAAAAACAAAAACAAAAACAAAAAAAAACAAAAACAAAAACAAAACAAAAAAAAAGTTTCTTTTGAGGCCGGCGCCGTGGCTCACTGGGCTAATCCTCCGCCTAGCGGCGCCGGCACACCGGGTTCTAGTCCCGGTTGGGGCGCCGGATTCTGTCCCGGTTGCCCCTCTTCCAGGCCAGCTCTCTGCTGTGGCCAGGGAGTGCAGTGGAGGATGGCCCAGGTGCTTGGGCCCTGCACCCCATGGGAGACCAGGAAAAGCACCTGGCTCCTGGCTCCTGCCATCGGATCAGCGCGGTGCGCCGGCCGCAGCACGCCGGCCGCGGCGGCCATTGGAGGGTGAACCAACGGCAAAGGAAGACCTTTCTCTCTGTCTCTCTCTCTCACTGTCCACTCTGCCTGTCAAAAAATAAAAAACAAAACAAAACAAAACGAAAATTTAAAAAAAAAAAAAAAAGTTTCTTTTGAGGGGCCGGCGCCATGGCGCACTAGGTTAATCCTACACCTGCAGCGCCAGCATGCCATATGAGCGCTGTTCTAAGTCCTGGCTGCCCCTCTTCTGGTCCAGCTCTCTGCTGTGGCCTGGGATAGCAGTAGAAGATGGCCCAAGTTCTTGGGCTCCTGCACCCGCCTGGGAGACCGGGAAGAAGCACCTGGCTCCTGGCTTCTGACCGGCCCAGCGCCGGCCGTGGCAGCCAATTTGGAGAGTGAACCAATGGAAGGAAGACCTTTCTCTCTGTCTGTCTCTCTCACTGCCTATAACTCTACCTGTCAAATAAATAAAATCTTTGAAAAGAATATAAAAAGTTAGGCCAGCACCGCGGCTCACTAGGCTAATCCTCCGCCTTGCGGCGCCGGCACACCAGGTTCTAGTCCCGGTCGAGGTGCCGGATTCTGTCCCGGTTGCCCCTCTTCCAGGCCAGCTCTCTGCTGTGGCCAGGGAGTGCAGTGGAGGATGGCCCAAATACTTGGGCCCTGCACCCCATGGGAGACCAGGATAAGTACCTGGCTCCTGCCATCGGATCAGCGCGGTGCGCCAGCCACAGTGTGCCGGCCGCAGCGGCCATTGGAGGGTGAACCAATGGCAAAGGAAGACCTTTCTCTCTGTCTCTCTCTCTCACTATCCACTCTGCCTGTCAATAAATAAATAAATAAAAAAATTAAAAAAAAAAAGAATATAAAAAGTTTCTTTTGATGCAAAAATTTTTGAAATTGTATATAAAGAGGTTCTTCAGAAAGTTCACAGAAAATGTGTATTATGAAGAAAACCTATGCATGGATTTCCTAAGTTTTTTGCACCACAATAAACCTACCTTTTTATTTCATTTTCCACAGCTGTCTGAAGTACCCTCATACTTGGGCTGAGACACAAGGTCTTCCAGCAATAATAAAATCAGAAGACTACATGTAGTTTTGTATTTATTTTTCTTGCTCAGTGGCCTACTTGATTGTCCCATGTAAGAACCAGTAGCATAATATTAAATAGGGTCTTAAAAAACTAAGTAAATGTAAGGGGTAAGGAAATTCATATGCAAGTTATACTTTTCTAAGTTTTAAGAATATAAAGTTTGGGGCTGGCACTGTGGCACAGCGAGTAAAACCACCACTTGCAATGCTAGCATCCCGTCTGGGTGCCGGTTCTAGTCCCAGCTGCTCCACTTCTGATCCAGCTCTCTGCTATGGCCTGGGGAAGCAGTAGAAGATAGCCCAAGTCTTTGGGTCCCTACACCTGAGTGGGAGACCCAGAGCTCCTGGCTCCTGGCTGTGGATCAGTGCAGCTCCGGCCATTGTGCCATTTGAGGAATGAACCAGCAGATGGAAGACCTCTCTCTCTCTCTCTCTCTGCCTCTGCCTCTCCTTCTCTCTCTGTTTAACTCTTGCCTTTCAAATAAATAAATCTGAAGTGCCGGCATCCCATATCGGCGCAAGTTCAAGACCCGGCTGCTCCACTTCCAATCCAGCTCTCTGCTATGGCCTGGGAAAACAGCAGAGGATGGCCCAAGTCCTTGGGCCCCTGCACTTGCATGGGAGGCCCGGAAGAAGCTCCTAGCTTCGGACTGGTGCAGCTCCGACCATTGCAGCCAATTGGGGAATGAACCATCGGATGGAAGACCCCTCTCTCACTCTCACTGTCTCTCTGCCTTTCCTCTGTGTAACTCTTTCAAATAAATAAATCTGAAAAATAAAAAATACTTAAGGAGTAAAAAAAAAAAAATAGAAAATGTAAATAAATCACAGTATAGGAAATGATTATTGTCAGGTACCTAGATTATGATTTTCTGAACTTGGACAAAATAATTACATAAGAAAATCACACAAACAATATTCTGAATAAGGGTCATTATCAGCCATTCTTATCTAGAGAGGCAAGACAGCAAATCACAGGAATAATATATCTGTGTGTGGTTATAAACTACCTGCATTTGAATGACTCAGCCACTCTATGCTTCTTTAACCTGTTTTCTCTTAAAGTAGATCTCAGCTGAATCAGAACTGCTACCTATTGTACTTATTCAGCATCACGGCAACTAAATAGCCATTTACAATGAAGACTCAAGTGCTTGGACTCAACACCTGGACTGGCCAATTAGTACCTGTGTTTCAGGGAAAGCAGCTTGACTTTTCTAAGCCTCAGTTTTCTCTTAAATACTATGGGGAAGTAACAGTTACCTACCTCAATTACAACTACAAGGGTTAGAAGAAAATCTTTTTAAAACTTGTGTAGCATCTAGCACATAAAATCTACAATAAGAAAAGTACATGTATATGACGTATCACTGGTCAAGTTGTTTCCTAATAAACTGAGGAGAAAAAAAAAAATCTACTTACCTGTAGGAAGCAAGCTGTTTCATAAAGCTGTTCTACAGTGCTGTCATTTATTGCCAAGTTACCCGTGTAAGCATAAGTTATTATTATCTGTAAGGTGGCAGCATCCACATTTCTCAGGTGCACGTGTGTCTGTTTACTTTCACTTAGTCCACTCATGAACATGGCCCTATACCAGAGAGAAGGAAAACAAAGATTCAGGATGTAGTGTTAAAAAAACAGTAGAGCTGAAAAGAAAACCTAGACAACATAAGCTATTTATTTAGGGTAATAATTTCAAGGTAAGACTTTTGAGGGAGACAACAGCAAAGCATATGACCCAGTGCCAAAGCTACACCAGACCATTTCACCATGATTGAGTGAAAACATCAAAATTCACTGCTTCCTAATATTCATAAATACTGTTTAGCAATAAAAAGAAACTACTGATAAATGATACAACATAAATGAATTCCAAAAACATGCTTAGTCAAAGAAGCCAAACATAAAAGATAACACTAAAGTATCTATTCAAAGAAAATGTCCCAAAAAGGCAAATACACCAGTTACCCTAATATGTTATATAGGTAATCCAAACAACATATTAACCACTACATCAAATACCTATACTTTTCCCAACGCCTTAAAAAAAATTAAAAAAAAATTAAAAAAAAAAGGAAAAATATTATTTGAAAGAGGGAGAGACAGAGACAGATCTTCTATCTATTGCCTCACTCCCCACATGCCTGCAACAGCCAGGGTTAGGCCAAGCCAGGAGCTTCTAGGAACTCCATCCAGGTTTCCTATGTGGGTGGCAGAATTCAAGGGCTTAGGCCACCCATCATCATCTTCTGCCCGCCAGGCACACTGCATAGATTGAAGTGTGGAGTGGCTGGGGCTCAAACTAGGCACACTGATAAGGGATGTGGGCATTCCAAGCTGCAGCTCTTTCCCAACATTTTTAGTTGTTTTTTTTTTTTTTTCCTCCAAAGATTTATTTATCTGAATGGGAAAGTTACAGGCAGAGACACAGATGGATTTTTCATCCGCTACTTTACTCCCCAAATGGCCATTAACACTGGGGCTGGGTCAGGTGGAAGCCAGGAGCCTGAACTCTAATCAGGTCTCCCATGTGGGTGTAAGGGTCCAAGCTCTTGAGCCATTTTCCACTGCTTTCCCTGGCATATTAGCATGGACCTGGACTGGAAATCGATCTGTCAGAACTGGAATCGGCATCCATATGGAATGCTGGCACGGCATGTAGCTTAACCCACTTAGGCATGATGCCAACCCCTCTGACATTTTCTGATCCATAGCTGGTTGAATCCGAGGATGCAGAACCCCTAAACAGAGAGCTGACTGCACGTTTTAAATAGACAGATTTTTAAATATGTAAAATATCTCATGGCCGGCGCCGCGGCTCACTAGGCTAATCCTCCACCTAGCGGCGCCGGCGCACGGGGTTCTAGTCCTGGTCGGGGTGCCGGATTCTGTCCCGGTTGCCCCTCTTCCAGGCCAGCCCTCTGCTGTGGCCAGGGAGTGCAGTGGAGGATGGCCCAGGTGCTTGGGCCCTGCACCCCATGGGAGACCAGGAAAAGCACCTGGCTCCTGCCATCGGATCAGTGCGGTGCGCTGGCCGCAGCGCGCCGGCCGCGGCGGCCATTGGAGGGTGAACCAACGGCAAAGAAAGACCTTTCTCTCTGTCTCTCTCTCACTGTCCACTCTGCCTGTCAGAAAAAAAAAAAAAAAGAAACTGTGCTCAAAGTGCAACTGGTATTGTAGAGAATACAAAACAGCATTTAGGCATGCAGGAGAAAAACCCTTCTATATATATATATATACACACACACACACACACATATATGTATGTATATATATGTGTGTGTATATATGTATGTGTATATATATACATATATATATGTAGGGTCAAGAGTGGGTATCACAACACTCAATAGTTTGAGCCTTTCAAGGACAAGCAGATGAGGAAAGCATTCAAAAGCAGGTAAAAGAGAGTCAAAAAGGAAGTGTTCCAGGAGCACAGCTTAACACAGGGTTTATGCAGGATACTGAAAAATGAAATAAAAAGGTTAAGTGACAGTCAGATCATGAAAGGTCTTTAAGATAAAGAAGTCTGAGCTTTTTCTAGAAAGTAGCAAAGAAGACTGAAGAGCTTTAAACCCAGAAATAGCAAGACAAAATATACTGGAAGATGAGTACACTCACAGACTTCAATAGCCAAAACCTTGAAACAGAAAAACAGCAATTAACTTACAGGAGAGATAAGAACCACCTGAGTCAAGATAACAGCAATGGACAGAACTATCACAAAGAGCCTGGCAATTTTCTGAACCTAGGGAATGGGATACAGTTAAGAAGTAGATGTGAAGAGTCAAAGCTATGAGTTTATTTCCAAGTATCTGAAAAAATATTAATTATTGGGACAAAATTATAAAGCCAAGTAGTAATGTTAACTCTAGGCAAAGGGAGTTGAATTTTGGATATACTTGATTTGAGGGTAGGGCAGTTGAATCAAATGGAAATAATAACAAGTTAAGTATTTCTTTCTTTTTTTTTATTTTGGACAGGTAGAGTGGACAGTGAGAGAGAGAGACAGAGAGAAAGTTCTTCCTTTGCTGTTGGTTCACCCTCCAATGGCCACCACAACCGGTGCACCGCGCTGATCCGAAGGCAGGAGCCAAGTGCTTCTCCTGGTCTCCCATGGGGTGCAGGGCCCAAGCACCTGGGCCATCCTCCTCTGCACTCCCCGGCCACAGCACAGAGCTGGCCTGGAAGAAGGGCAACCTGGACAGAATCTGGCACCCCGAGCAGAACTAGAACCCCTAGGCGGAGGATTAGCCTAATGAGCAGCGGTGCTGGCCACGAGTTAAGTATTTCATATTAGAGCTTTGGAGATCTGGCATTAATGCAGTGGGCCATAACTCATCTACAAAATAATATTGGTTAAAGGCACCTAAGTAATGTGAGGAAGACTAAAAACCTGCAAGAAACACATCCAGGAATCCCAATGACCAAACTAAAGCAGAAGTCAATTAAGATAAAAAAGAAAAAACCACGACAGAAGGTTGAAAAAGATTCAGCAAGGAGCTAAGAACCAGCAGACCAGTATAATGCTAACTCAGGAAAACAGAAGTGGTGACAAACACTGTAGAGCCAAGGGAAACAAACATTTCATTATCAATGATAAAGTCACTGCTGTCTCAGATCTCAGAGCGAGCAGTAAAGGACAGCAGCCAGATAGATTCTTACAGCTGTTTAGTCTCCCTCACATAACATACCCATCTTTAGGTGGGAAGTACTAGAATGGCCAAAACAATGCCAATCAGGGTGCATGAAGACTTCCTATCAAAGGAGACAGGATGAATACAGAGAAAGACAACTAATGGACAGCCAGAAAGACCTGAGAGGAAACCCTTTAAAACCACCTGCTGCTACCAGATTCACCTAATATGGAAAAAATGGAAGGTAATCCTAAGAAACTTGAAAAAGAATTCTGAGAGCTGAGTAATATCAAGTGTGTTTTACATCCATTCTACTAAAAGACAGTGACTTTGTAAAAGGGAATGGTGCAAATCAGCTTGACTATACAGATAACAGAAGACTAGTTTATTCCTATGGTTTATGACACCAGAATGATGGACTTCTGTAAAGGAAATGTACTTCCTGATACCAAAGGCTGCACAAGAGTAGTCAATGTGATTAAGAAAATGTTAAACTGACATTTAAAAAAAATTTTTTTAAAGTATTTTCATTTATTTATTTGAAAAGCAGAGTTACAGAGAAAGAGAGGCAGAGAGAATGAGACTGAATCTTCCATCTGCTGGTTCACTCTCCAAATGACTGGAGTTGGGCCTGTATGAAGCCAGGATCCAGGAGCTTCTTCATTCTCCCACATGGGTGCAGGGGCCCAAGCACTTGGGCCATCCTCTAGTGTTGTCCCAAGTGAATTAGCAGGGAGCTGGATGGGAACCGGAGTAGCTGGGACTCAAACTGCCACCCATATTGGATGCCAGCACCAGAGGCAGAGGATTTACCAGCTTTGCCACAGTGCCAACCTAAACTGGCAATTTTAATAAAGAGCAAATACTGAATTATATGTTGTAAAAGGCTGAAGTACCACAGAAGTAGTGCTGAATAATTCTCAAGTAATTGTCATACCAATAGTGTATATACTAAGAAATAGAAACTACTGAGAATAATCTAATGATTCCTGAAGGGATGAAATTGATAACTCAAAGTACAATGTGAATATATCTTATCAAAAGGCAAAATCTCTGATGGCATATATTTGTAGTGCATTACATGTAGAGAACCTGAAACCAGAATGTAGTTGAAGAACACTCGGAAGAAGAACACTTGGGAAAAGACCACTTGGGAGGACATGCAACAATCTATCCAGTGGAGAGAATATATACACAGGAAGAAAAAAATTTAACACATGAGTATCCCTCATGGATGACACTGGCCCAGATATATTTTAATAATGGGTGGCTTAAACCCCAAACATGTGTTGAACCATTCTTTCTACCTATTTAATAAGTATCTGATTTGTTTTAGGGAGAACAATGATATTTTAGAAGTCCAAGGAAGAGGTAAACATTTAGCCTACCTCTTTTTTTTTTATTTTTTTATTTTTTGGACAGGCAGAGTGGAGAGAGAGAGAGACAGAGAGAAAGGTCTTCCTTTGCCATTGGTTCACCCTCCAATGGCCGCCGCGGCTGGCATGCTGCGGCCGGCGCACTGCGCTGATCCAATGGCAGGACCCAGGTTCTTCTGGTCTCCCATGGGGTGCAGGGCCCAAGCACTTGGGCCATCCTCCACTGCACTCCCTGGCCACAGCAGACAGCTGGCCTGGAAGAGGGGCAACCGGGACAGAATCTGGCACCCCGACCGGACTAGAACCTGGTGTGCCGGTGCCGCAAGGCAGAGGATTAGCCTAGTGAGCCGCGGCACCGGCCTTAGCCTACTTTTTAAGATACCCACATTTCATACTGTAGTGGATGGGTTCAGCAACTGGCTCTGGCTCCTGACTCCAGTTTCCTGCTAATAATAAAGACTCTGGGAGCCTGTGGTGATGGATCAAATAATTAGGCTTCTGCCACCCACACGGGAGACTGTATTGGTTTCCCAGCTTCTCAGTTATGGCCTGGTCCATCCCCAGCAATTGCAAGCATTTGAGGAGTAAATCAGCAGAGATCATTCTCTCTCTGCTTCTCAAGTAAGACAGGAGTGGGCAGTGTAGTACAGTGGGTTAAAGCTATCCAGCATCCCCAATCAGAGTGCTGATTTGAGTCCCAGGTACTCCATTACTGACCCAGGTTTCTGCAAATGTATCCTGGGAAGCAGCAGTTGGTTCAAGCACTTGGACCCCTGCTACCTACATGGGAGACAGATGGAGTTTCAAGCTCCTGGCTTTGGCCTGGCTGTTGCAGGTATTTGGGGATTGAACCAGTAGATTAAAATTAATAAACATTAAAAAAAAAAGAAAAAGAAAAAGAAACCTCCCACTAACCAAGATAAAAAAAATTACAAAAAAAAAAAAAAAAAAAGGTTCACGGAAATTGAAGAAAGACCTGGCTAGTGATTCTAAAATGAAACAAACAAAAAAACAAAAAAGGCAACCTTTAAAGGACTGTGTTGTTTGTAAGACTGTAATACTGATTAAAGACAAATTTCCTGGAGGGGCCAGCGCGGTGGCTCACTTGGTTAATCCTCCGCCTGCGGCACTGGCATCCCATATGGCGCCGGGTTCTAGACCCGGTTGCTCCTCTTTCAGTCCAGCTCTCTGCTGTGGCTGGGGAAGGCAGTGGAGGATGGCCCAGGTGCTTGGGCCCCTGCACCTGCATGGGAGACTGGGAAGAGGCACCCGGCTCCTGGCTTCCAATCAGCACACCTCCAGCTGTAGCGGCCATTTGGGGAGTGAACCAACGGAAGGAAGACCTTTCTCTCTGTCTCTCTCACTGTCTCTAACTCTACCTGTCAAATAAAAAAAAATTTCCTAGAATACTAATTACAACTCAATTAAAGATAAATAATCTCATGGCTAGAGAATAGCCCATGTGTTATTTTCTGGTAAAGACGATGACCACACAGAAAATTTAAGTATTATACACAGAATTTCTGCATAGATTTAAAAGTTAGACCAGGTGACTACTAAAGTTACTACCAATAAAGATTCTACTCTGTGATTACAAATGTCAGGTGGAAAACCCACAACTAAGGTTTAAAGCTCTTTCCAACAATGGAGAGTCAAATAATAATTAATGGCCATTAAAAAAGGAGAGTACAGAGCCAGTGCTGTGGTGCCAGCATCCCCTATGGACCCCGTTCAAGTCCCAGCTGCTCCACTTCTGATCTGGCTCTCTGCTGTGGCTTGGGGAAGCAGTACGAGATGGCCCAACTTCTTGGGCCCCTGGACCGGCATGGGAGACCTGGAGGAAGCTCCTGGCTCCTGGCTCTGGATTTTTTTTTTTTTTTTTTTTTTTTTGCTTATTTTGGGAAGTGAACCAGTGGAATGGAAGACCCTCCCACCCCACTCTACCCCTGTAACTCTTTCAAATAAAATAATTCTATTTTTTATTTTTTGCCAGGCAGAGTTAGACAGTGAGAGAGAGAGACAGAGAGAGAAAAAAAGGTCTTTCTTCCGATATTCACTCCCCTAATGGCCGCTACAGCCGGCACTGCGCCAATCCGAAGCCAGGAGCCGGATGCTTCCTCCTGGTCTCCCATGCGGGTGCAGGGCCCATCCTCCACTGCCTTGGGCCACAGCAGAGAGCTGGACTGGAAGAGGAGCTAACGGGACAGAATTCGGCGCCCCAGACAGGACTAGAACCCGGGGTGCCGGTGCCACAGGTGAAGGATTAGCCAAGTAAGCCACGGCGCCAGCCATCAAATAAAATAATTCTAAAAAACCAAACAAAAGGAGCGCATAGGGGCAAGCATTTGGCCCAGAGGTTAAGATACCACTTGGGACACCCACATCCCATATCTGAAGGCCTGTGTTCAAGTCCTGGCTCCACTACCTATTCTAACTTCCAACTAATGCACACCCATGAGCAACAGGCTCAATCACTTGGGTAACTTGGGAGACCTGGACTGAGTTACCAGCTCTTTACTTCAGCCTAGCCAACACTACTATTGCAGGCATTTGGAAAGTGAACCAGCAGAGATAGGAGGTCTATGTCTGTCTGTCTCTGCCTTTCAAATTAAAAAATGCTTAAATGGGGAAAAGGAGGAGAGCTAATGAGCCCAAGTATTAACTGAACCTGTAAACTTGAATTTCTAACACCATTTGCTAAAATAATGAATCTGAAAACAAATCAAAAACAAAAAACCAGTATCACACCATTTAGGAGGCTTTTAAATAATAAAGATTCTGATTTCATAATCCAGACCCCCTGAATAAAAATTTCTGAATTTGAAATCCAATACTCTCTGTAAAAGCACTAAAATTCTAATAACCAACCAGGTTTTAGAACTACTATTTGCAAATAGGCTAAGCTTCCCAACACAGACAAGAAAATCAGAATCTGAAATTGCATCAACAATCCACACTTTAACCTGAAAACAAAAACTGTAAGCACTTGGGCTCTAGCTTCTGCTATCACCATGGGATGCAGTTACACTGAAGAGTATGAAGCTTCTGTATCTTCATGTGGTCAGATTAAATCGGTCCTGTGTATAACTGCCAGTAAATAACAGCAGAAATGAACTCACTGCCAATCTTTACTTACTGGGGGGCGGGGAATATTCCTAGTAAAAATATACTAGTCTACATTTAATTCATCTTATTCATCCTATCCTTTTCAAATATTAAGTAGTAAAAATCAACCTAAGGCACAGAACCAATCGATGTCTTTTGTCTTGGCTTCTACTTCTCATGAAATTTAAAGATACAAAAGGTCACCAAAGTATAAAGTTTATTTGTGACTAACAAATAACTGAAGCAACTTCTATTTTCTAAGGAACAGAAAACACCTAGTAAGGCTAAATGGTTATCTCAAATGGTAACAATAATCACAAGTGAGAAATAGAATTAGATTTTTGTAAAAGAAAGAAAAGTTTTAACATGTCTCAACAGCACCAATTATCCTCCAAAAATTACTGAGCCTATTTTAACACCTCAGTTTTTAAACAAGGACCAATATTTTCTAATTATAATATTTTTTAAAAATCTTGAGTAAATTACCCTGTTTTTCTTTCAAAGGAACAATATTCTGTAATTTTCTGCTCCCTCAAACTTAAAACTTTGCCTTAACGTCAACCAATTTCTATATTTAAACTTCTGTAAAAACTTCTTTACTCTGTTCCGAACTTACACATGCAAGGCAATGACTGGGCAAGCAGTATATCATCTGAGGTAGAAAATCTAAAACATTATAGGATTTTTAAAAAATGTAAAACAGCATTTAAAAGAATCCCTATTAAAACAAGCTAACATTCTATATGTATAATTTACAAACTAATAAAGAAAGTACTTACCTGAAATAAGAGCTACATGTTGCAAGAACCATCTTATGACAAGGGAATTCAGTGCCCTCAACAACTAACACTATATCAGTAAACAACTGCTGTTCATAAAACAGCTTCAACTGTTCCAGCAAGGACACAGCATATTCAGTATTGATCTGCCTCTCGTCTTGAGTGGACATGACTGTATTCCATTAATAGCTCTCGAAACAGATTAGAAAAGTCAATCTTACTGATGGAAGGTCAAGTGAATACTTCTGAAATAAAGAAGCAAGTCTGTTTGCTGTTATCTGTAACATTCAGAGCCAAGACGGACTTTCACTAAGGAATATCTTGTGACAGCCTTAGAATCACTTCTAGGTCATCCTCTGTTGGTCAGGTTCTTCAGGGTTTTTCAACACGAAAACTGGCTGCAGACATCCTGCTCAAAACTGCAACTGTGCAGCTCATGAGCTAAAGAAAAAAGTTCACGAGGTAGGTTCTGTGGCAACATCCTATGTTTAGTGGATCCTCTGCATTAACTAAAAAGAAAAAATGTTTAGTTAGAATACCTAGGCCAGTATACTCCTAGAAAATGTTTTAAATGGCAGCCTTAAATATAGATAAGATTTACTTGAAATTCAACTTTTAGACACTACCATAAAAATAAAACATGAGAAGAATGAACATTTTAACAATTTACTAAATTTAAAATAAAAACACTGAAGGAAATTTGCCTTCAATACAAAATGTAAGCATCACAAAAAACAAGAAACACATATATAAGCACATTTTCAAGTTTTTTAACAATAAATTACCAAAGCCAGATCTCCCAGGTACTTATTTAGTTCCAACATGTGAACATAATTTAAAGGAAAAAAACAAAAAATAAAAAAGCTTCTTGCAGAGATTTCACTCTTTGAATGTATTTTAAATACTTTTTTTTTTGACAGGCAGAGTGGACAGTGAGAGAAAGATCTTCCTTTGCCGTTGGTTCACCCTCCAATGGCCACTGCGGCCGGCACGCTGCGGCCAGCGCACCGCACTGATCCGATGGCAGGACCCAGGTACTTATCCTGGTCTCCCATGGGGTGCAGGGCCCAAGCACTTGGGCCATCCTCCACTGCACTCCCGGGCAACAGCAGAGAGCTGGCCTGCTAGAGGGGCAACTGGGACTAGAACCCGGTGTGCCGGCGCCGCAAGGTGGAGGATTAGCCTAGTGAGCCGCGGCGCCGGCCTTTAAATACATTCTAAAATGCTTCATATTTAATTGAAATCAAAATATTCAGTAACAGATTAAACTGTTTATTTCTAAAGTATGAGCTATATATTTTTAAAATTTAAAGTTCAATCCTGTATATGTAATTTCTCTTTGTAGTTGTCCCTTTCTAGAAGTCCTTATGAATAAGAGTATAATTTTACTGAAAAAACATAAAACACGATTAAATGGAGAAATACAAACACGGTACTTTAAAGCAGGGAAGACCAGTTTATTTCAACAAATATCTTGGAACAAATGTAACCACTCAAGGGGAAAAAAAATCCTTGATTTTAGTCATATTGCATACTATTCATCAAAAAAGTCCAGCTGAAACAAACTTCAAAATGTTACTTGGAACTCAGTATTTACAACATATGGCAAAGGAACCACAAACCAGGAAAAGAGGGAAAACTCCAACAGAAACACTACTAATACAGTAACTATAAAAACTATCACCTGTTTTCTCATTAGATGATACTTAGCTCCTTCCCATTTCCAGAAAGTCAAGTGACTTTTGACATGAAACTTATATAATATAAATACAACCATCACTGCAACCACTAGTATTTTTCCTCACAAAATATTCATTATTTCAAAGAGAAGATCACACTGAACTTTCCTACCAAACTACACTATTAGGCCAACTGCTAACTTGATACGGATGTCAAGTTTCCAGTCAAGTTAACTATGGAAGTAACTAAAACAGGTGCAAAGGGAGACAGACTGAGACTTTGGGTCATTTAAGGTAATGACTTTGCTCTTCCACAACTGAAAGTAATACTACAAATCTGAGCTCTACTTCAATCTCTGAGGTTAATAATATCTAAAATCACTGACTACTTCCATACATTAATAATACAGCAAGGCCCAGGTCAACAAGGGTATTAGAAAACAATCATTCTTACACAGGAGAGAAGTTGATACATACCCACAATCCTTTATTCAAACTCTGTTTCGAAATTTAGAATTCCTCAGATTTTACAAAGGTAAAGTGACTCATACATTAATACATTACAAAACCCTCTCAAGGGTCTGGGTCTGCACTCCATAACTGAACACATAATCATCTCTTAGGGAAATTTGAACAGTGAAAAAGACAAAGCCTCATGTTACTTCAGGTCAAGTTTTGCTAGTGATGAGTTGTTTTTTAATTTTTGAGTTTTCACAGCTTTTTAAATTTTAGAATTGCAGATAAGGTACAAAGACATAATACTTGGCACTGTAAGTGCTTAAAACCTTCTAACCTATCATTTGTATCTCTAGAAATTTCTTACAGAAATGTAGTAATAAATTCAAAGTCCCAACCCCAACTGCAGGACCCAAAACTGTCTCCATCTATGTTTAAAATGTGTAAAAGCCAGTGGTGACTTAGGGCAAGTCAGATTTAGAGTACAATGTTAGACTCTAGAATTTCTTGCAGGAAAGTTGTTACAGGGTTATTTTTAATATTTATTTATTTACTTGAAAGGCGGTTAGCTAAAGTTTGTGATCTTCCATCTGCTGGCTCACTACTCCCCAAATGGCCGAAATGGGGGGGAGGGGGCGGCCCAAGCTGGAGCCAGGAGCCAGGAGCCAGGAGCCAGGCACTCTGTTCCATTCTCCCACATAGGTGTCAGGGCCCAGGTATTTGTGCCATCTCATGCTGCTTTCTCAGGCACATTAACAAGGAACTGAACTGGAAGTGGAGAGCTGGGACTGGACCTGGGGCCCATACGGGATGCCCCGTCCCAGGTGACAGCTTAACCGCTGTGAGAAATTGCTGGGCTCCACACGCAGGTTTATTTCATTAACCTAATAATGATATGACCTGACTTTTTACAGAGTATTTTTGGACCCACTAAATTTATGTCTGGATTTGATCTGATTTTTGAAATCATATACATGAAACCATATTAAAACATCTGAGGTCTACTTTTAGAAAATCACACAGCAGTAATAATCATTAATACTGCTCTTACTAGATTCCCCTATTTCTTACTCTCTTTTTTAATCCCAGGTACATTTTCTTCCACATAGATATCCTAAACTAAAAATTTTAGGAGCCAGTGTAGTGAGTAAAGCTGCATCTCCTATGTGTGCCAGTCTGTGTCCAGGCTGCTCCACTTCTGATCCAGTTCTCTACTAATGATCTGGGGAAAACAGGGAAAGATGGCAAGTGTTTGGGCCACTGCCACCTACATAGGAGACCTGGAAGAAGCTCCTAGCTCTGGCCTGACCCAGTACCCCAGTCCCAGCCATCGCGGCCACAACCAGCAAATAGAAGATCTGTCTGTCTCCTCCCTCCCTCTGAAACTCTTTCAAATAAATAATCTTTTAAAACAAATTTATTTTGGGTTGGCACCCCATATGGGTGCTGGTTCAAGTCCCAGTTGCTCCTCTTCCCATCTGGCTCCCTGCTAACAAGCCTGGGAAAGCAGTGGAACATGGCCCAAGTGGGAGACCCAGAAGAAGTTCCAGGCTGGCCTAGCCCTAGCCATTGTGGCCATTTGGGAAGTGAACCAGTAGATGGAAAACTGATCTCTCTCTCTCTTCTCTCTCTCTAGCTCTGCCTTTCAAATAATAATAGTAATCTTTAAAAGAGTTATTTACTAATTTGAAAGGCAGAGTTACAGAAGCAGAGAGAGAGAGAGAGAGAGAGAGAGAGAAAATGTCTTCCATCTACTGGTTCACTCTCCAGATGGCAGCAATAGCCAGAGTAGGCCAATCCAGAGCCAGGAGCCTCTTCCAGTTCTCCCAGGTGGGTGCAGGGGCCCAAGGATTTGGGCCATCCTCTACTGCTTTCCCAGGCCATGGCAAAGAGCTGGAAAGGAAGTGGAGCAGCCAGCACTGCAGGAGGCGGCTTTACTCATTATGCCACGGCCACTGGCCCCAAATAAATAAATCTTAAAAAAAAAAAAAAAAATCATTTTAAAGGGGCAGGCATGATGGGGCAGGTTAACCCACCACCTATGGAGCTAGCACCCTATGTGAACATCAGGTTTAAGTCCTGGTCACTCCATTTCTGATCCAGCGCCCTGCTAATGCACCTGAGGAAAGCAGCAGAAGATGGCCCAAGTCCTTGAGCCCCTACCACTCACGTGGGAGACCCAGATAGAGTTCCAGGCTCCTGGATTTGGCCTGGCCAAGCCCAGGTTGTTGCAAAGCAGCCATCTGGGGAGTTAATCAGTGGATGAAAGATCTCTGCCTCTCCCTGTACCTCTGCCTTTCAAATAAAAACTACCTTAAAATAGGCACAAAAAAAGTCACTCATTCACTAAGTAAAAGAACCTAATGAATCAAACAGATTATATCCAATTAAAAATAAAATTAAGTCTCACCTCTTGGGTATACACACTTCAAAATATATTAACTAAAAACATGAAAGGTGCAAAGTTTAGGATGACAAACCAAAAACCTTCAAAAATGCCCGTAACAGAAACATTTTCTATAGCAAGATTCCTTCTCTCCTAAAAACAAAACTTGAAATAGACATACTACTCTAAAAAATTTCACAAAATCTCTATATTGCTTAATTATCAAGAAATTTGACACATTCTACATGTGGTTTTTTTGTTTTTGTTTTTTTTTTGACAGGCAGAGTGGACAGTGAGAGAGAGTGAGTCAGAGGGAAAGGTCTTCCTTTGCTGTTGGTTCACCCTCCAATGGCCGCCACGGCTGGCACGCCGCGCTGATCCGATGGCAGGAGGCAGGTACTTATCCTGGTCTCCCATGGGTGCAGGGCCCAAGTACTTGGGCCATCCTCCACTGCCCTCCCGGGCCACAGCAGAGAGCTGGCCTGGAAGAGGGGCAACCGGGACAGAATCCAGCGCCCCAACCGGGACTAGAACCCGGTGTGCCGGCGCCGCAAGGCAGAGGATTAGTCTAGTGAGCCGCGGCACCGGCCCATATTTTGTTTTCAATAATTATACTGCTTTATGTTATCACTCTATACCTAAATTAGCTTCAAGAAGCCACATATCTTATTCGTAGATGTTAGTCTTCTCTGATTCTCAGAATCAGAATTATCAGAATGTTTACTTAAATATGATTTAACAAATGTTTATTGATTACTTATGTGTCAGTCACTGTACCTTAAGTACTCAGATTGCAAGCTGCCAACTGTGGTCCAAGACATCAAGTGCATTTACTCTTACAACAGCTAAAATCATAAAATCAATTATTCTATACAACCTCAAAAGCCACTAGAGACAAATGAACAAAGGAAGCAAAGTATATTTTTGTTAAAATCTGTTTTGATTTCTAGCTTCTAAACTTTTATTTTTAAAACTGACTTGAAAGGCAAAGATTCCCTCCCCAAATATCCACTGCAGCCAGACCTCAATCTAGGTCTCCTTTATGTGTGTGGCAGGGACCCAAGTAACTGAGCCCTCTCCTGCTGCCTCCAGGGTGCACATAAGCAGGAAGCTGGAATTGGAAATAGAGCCAGGACTCAAACCCAAGGACCCTGATATAGGATACGGGAACCACAAATGGCATCTTAACCAACACACCAAACATCTTTCTCTCATTTCCAAACCTTTGATAGACACATGAGAGAAATCTTATGCCTTACCAAAACAGAAACCATTGGAGGGTGGGGGACAGGCGCTGTGGCACAGCAGGCAAATCTGCCGCCTGCAGTGCCAGCATCCCATATGGGCTGCCTGTTTTGAGTTCCAGCTGTTCCACTTCTGATCTAGCTCTCTGCTATGGCCTGGAAAACAGCAAAAGATGGCCTAAATCTTTGGGCACCTGCACCCGCATGGGAGACCTGGAAGAAGCTTCTGGCTCCTTGCTTTGGATTGGCTCTGCTGCGGCAGCTGCCATTTATGTATTTATTTGAGAAGCAGAGTTACAGAGAGAGGGAGAGATAGAGAGAAAGGTCTTCCATTGGCTGGTTCATTCCCCAAATAGCCACAACAGCTGGAGCTGGGCAGATCTGAAGCCAGGAGCTTCTTCTGGATCTTCCACATGGGTGCAGGGGCCCAAGCACTTCAGCCATCTTCCACTGCTTTCCTAGGCCATAAGTAGAGAGCTGGATAGGAAGAAGAGCAGCCAGGACTCAAACCGGCGCCTCCATGGGATGCCAGCACCGGCCCCTACTTTCTCTCTTCCAAGATTTATTTGAAAGGCAGAGTGATACAGAGAAATCTTCCCACTGATTCAGTCCCCAATGGTCCCAATAGCCAGGTCTGAGTCAGGCAGAAGCCAGGAACCAAGAGCTCCATCCTGGTCTCCCAAAAGTGTTGCAGGGAACCAAGTACTTGGGTCATCTGCTACCTTGCCATCACATTAGGAAGCTGCATGAGAAGTGCAGCAGCCAGGACTTGAGCCAGTACTCAGATCCAGTATGCTGGCATCACAACGTCAGCCCCTCCAATCTCTTTAGACTACTTTTTTTTTTTTTTCAGGGACTAAAATATGTACCTTCAGTTGGTTTTACCAGAATAAAGTTTCCCTCCAGATCACAAAGTAAGAAAAAGCATAAGTCTTAAATTCCCAAAAACTAAATAAAATATAATTCTTAGTTTAATTTGTAGATATTCCACTGTTCTTAACGGAAATATCCTAACATCTCTCACACAACTGCATTTCTCAACTTCTGCTAGGTCAATGGACTCCTGAAATATCTATTCCTTCTAACTATAGGTACTCTTTATTAAGATTAAATACATGTCTTCCCCAAGATAACTTGTTGGAAAAAAAAATCCATGAGCAAAATATATTGCAGATTCAAAAATACTGAAATTGGGGCTGGCACTGTGGCATAGCGGGTAACGCCACACCTGCAGTGCCAGCATCCCATATGGGAACCAGTTCGAGTCCTGGCTGCTCCACTTCAGATCCAGCTCTCTGCTACAGCCTAGGAAAGCAGCATTTGATGGCCCAAGTCCTTAGGCCCCTGCACCCACGTGGGAGACCCAGAAGAAGCTCCTGGCCCCTGGCTTCAGACCCGGCGCTGCTCCAGCCATTGCAGCCATCTGGGGAGTGAACCAGCAGATGGAAGACCTCTCTCTCTGCCTCTCATAAAAATAAATCTTAAAAAAAAAGCAGAAATTAAAAAAAAAATACTTAAATTATGTTCTACTACTACAGTACACACTTGAAAAACAGATTGTGTAAGACAATATTTGTTTCAATACATTTAAAGAGGATCCTTTCTGTGGTTTGTAAAGATGTTTCCAACTGGTGTTCACATGACTGTGTGAGATGTGCCTCCCTTTAAACCTTGTTAGACGCCAGCACATGACCCATTTGATATGAATGAATACACTTAAGAAGCACACAGATTCATTAGATCAATCAAGGGCCAGAAACTGGGAATTCAATGTTACATGTCACACTTCTTTGTACCAGGTACTTCAAGATCAATAGGAAAGTCCTGTATTTAAAACTAATCATCAGAACAGACTCCACAGTGAAAAACAGAAACTAGCATTAAGTATTAAATGGGAGTCACACAAACAAAAATGAGATGAAATTCAATACTAAAAAAATGCAATGTACTGACATAAAGACTGTGAATATTCCTACTCCTTTTCCTAAATCCTGGACTCAATTCAATGTTTTTGATGCATGTGCTTGATGGCAGAGAATTCGTGAAGAAAAAAGTTACAATCCAACATAGGCTGAGATCCTTCTCTACCGACCTACTGATTTTCTGCTAATTAGCAGAGGACAAAGAACTACTTATCTTTAAAATCTAAGGTCCTCCTATAGAAATTTTAATTAAAAAAATTAAGAGAACAGCAAAAATTTTGCTTCAAATGATTTTCTCTGGGATAGCCAAGTCTCCAAGTACAACTGAGTGAATTCTACCATATAAAACTTTCAAGGCAAACAGTTATTAAATGATCATCAGGAATCAGTCAACAATCTGTAGTAACAGATATTTTACTTAAAAATCTGAAATGCTTGCTATGGAAAATTATCTCAACAGACTTTTGTAGCCTTTTAAAGTGGCTACAAAATAATCTTTGTAGAACACCAATCTGATTTTTCAATTTCATTATAAAATCTGAAATGTAGAAAAATACAACTTTCAAATTAGGGCCAGTGTTGCAACGTAGCAGTATCCCATACGCCTGCAGCAGCAGCATCCCACATGGGTGCCAGTTTGAGAACGGGCTGCTCCCATTTCAACACAGCTTTATGCTGCCTGGGAAAGCGGCAGTGGATGAAACAAGTGCCTGGGCCCTTATTACCCATGTGGAAGACCCAGAAGCTGCTCCTGGCTTCTGCCTAGCCCAGCCCTGGCCACTGTGGCCATCTACGAAGTAACCAGAAGATGGAAGATCCCTCTCTTTTGTAATTCTTTCAAAATAAATAAATAAACCTTAAAAAATAAATAAATAAAGTAGTTGGGTCCCAGCCATCCTGGAGAGGCTTAGACTGATGTTCCAGGTTCCAATCTTCAGTGTGGCCCAGCCCTGGCTGTTGAGTCAATTAGGAAAGAAGACTAGTGGCTGGGGGATGGACTTCTCTGTCTCTGCCTTTCAAATAAAAAAATTTTTTTTGAAATAAAGCAATTACATAGCAGGGATGAACCAGTGATAGAAAGGTCTCTGGCTGGCGCCGTGGCTCACTAGGCTAATCCTCCACCTTGCGGCGCCGGCACACCGGGTTCTAGTCCCGGTCGGGGTGCCGGATTCTGTCCCGGTTGCCCCTCTTCCAGGCCAGCTCTCTGCTGTGGCCCGGGAGTGCAGTGGAGGATGGCCCCCCATGGGAGACCAGGATAAGCACCTGGCTCCTGCCATCGGATCAGCGCAGTGCGCTGGTTGCAGTGCGCTGGCCGTGGCGGCCATTTGAGGGTGAACCAAGGGCAAAGGAAGACCTTTCTCTGTTTGTCTCTCTCACTGTCCACTCTGCCTGTCAAAAAAAAAAGAAGAAGAAGAAGAAAGAAAGGTCTCCTGCCAGGAGGCTCAGTAGGCTATTTGTCATTATCTGCAGGAAGCACTTCCAAGTTACTTAAGGGGTCTTGCATCCACCAGCACAATACAGATTAAATACCAACGCAGAAGATTAAAAACTTGTTGAAAAGAATCCAAGGCATTCTGTATTTCAAGCACTACAAAAAAAAAAAGTAAATAAGAAGTACTAAAAAATAAGAGTATGAACTCAAATTACTACTTGATTTGAAAGCCCAGTTCTGCAACTCTTTCAGCTGTTGACTTTTGTTGTTCTGTTGAACTTATCTGAGAAGCAGAGACAGAGTGAGTCCTGTCTGTGGGCTCACTCCCCAAGTGCCAGCATCATCCCAGGGAATGCAATCCAGGTCTCCTCCATGGGCTGCAGGGGCCCAGTTGTCTGAAACATCACCACTGCCTCCAGGGTCAGCATTAGCAGGAAACCACAGTCAGGGAATCTGGTTATCAAACCCAGGTTATCAAGATGTGGGGCATGGGCATCTTCACCACTAGGCTAACTAACCACTCACCCCATGTGACCTTTTATAAGTTACTCTCTGTATCTCAGTGTTCTCATCTGTAAAATGCGAATAAAAATAAAATTCTCAATGAACTGTCCCAGGATTAAATGAGTTTCATACTTGAAACAGGCCCGGACACATGGCACTACTACATCAACATCTGCAATTGCTTTTTTAAATCCACTCACTGATGAGGCTTCTGCAGAACTCTACTCCCAAACCTCCACAGGTCTACAGATTCCAATTACAAAGTTTTAACACTCCAAAAATAGCTCTTTTATCCAGGCTAAAGACATTTTACATCAGAGAAATTCATTCAGTTTTCAGAGAATATTTTTATGTTACAAATCATAAAACAAACCAACCCAACAAAGACTAACCTTGAGAATGCTGACATCATTGCAAAAAAACACTAAATGAGAGCCAGAATAGTACCAGAAGTAAAACAAACCTTTTTTTCATTTCAATGACATAGGTTTCTCTTCTCTTTTGGGAGGACAAAATATTGGTGCCAGAAACAGTTTGCTTTCAAGTTATCAAAACAACCCTGACAGTTGAGAATGTTTGGAAAAGACTGTTTGCTTTTTAGATTGTCAACTGCTACACACACAGAATTTTCTGGAACTGTGGCAAGTGCCAATGAAACAACACCTTGCCTTTTGAAGAATTTATCAAGTTTGATCAATTTCAGCATAAGGTCCCCACTCTAAGCAAATTCAGAGCTTAGGTCTCTTCCCATGTTACCTCTCCAACAATACTGAAAAGACAACATAGCACCATCAGGTTAATTATGCTCAGTACCCTATGTAAATTTAGGTTACAAATAGAAGCTTCTGTAGTACATTATGATTAATAAGTTATCTCACTTTTAAAAATTAAAAAGATAAAGGAAAGGCCACCTGTGACATAATTATAGGGGTATAGTATGTCTTTTATTTTGGGTATCACTTTTCTTTTTTACTCTCAGTTCTGCAGTGACTTACTATAAAACCTGGGAAAGGTAGTCCAATGCAAAATTGATCCAAACTTCTTAACTGGTGCTTAAATTTTTTCACCAAGTCAATGATTTCTTCAATCACCATACTAGAAAAAATAGTTCCCAGATATTCAAACATTCTATATGAGGCCATGCAATGCATAATCACTTACTGATTATGATTACTGAATTTTCCATTTCTTTCAGAAAGAATGAAGGTGAATGAAGGTAAATGTCTTAGTCCCTGGTACCACGAAGCTACAAGTCACCACTTGTCAGAGGTCTGGGAGTGCGTTAGGAAAGGGTAAAAACTCATTAAATGATGGTATTTTCTAAAACTCTCCTACAATAACCCATTCTTCCACAAACAATCTAGGTTTGGCACACTTCTGTCAAGAGGAGTATTCTTCATATACCTAAAAAAGTATTTTAAATCAACCCATCGCTCCTAATGCTCCAAGTTACTTTAAATTATTTGATTTATTCAAACTCTAGAAAACTGAGATAACCGTGAAGAATTTTGAAATTTTCCTTCATAGAGTTTACAACAGCATGACCAATGTTTTTGTTTAGGATCACTTGTCTTACTAATGTGGGCAAGGGAAAAAAAAAGCAAATTAAATGTCTAACTTTTGGAAAAGCCAAGATATCTTTTGCTTTCTAGACTGCATCCAAGCCTCTAGGAATTAAACACGTTCAGTATTCAGAATTAAGATATTATGAAAAAGCTCATTTCCACTAAAAGAAAATAAACGGAGGAGTGTGTGCTTAGTGCTGTAACTATTCCTCCCATCTCCTCACAGGCCCTTATAATAACTACAGTTACCAGGTTTTATGGTAAGTCTTCCTATGGGAGCAAACAAGGGGAAAGTGTGGAGAAAATGCAGCACACGGCAGAAACGTCTGGACTAGAGAGCATGCTCAGCAGACACAGGGTTACAGACAGATAACAACCGCTTGAGGATTTCAGGCCCGCATCTGCACTGGACCAACGAAAGATCAAAGCAAAGAAGCAAGCTTAAACACTAGTCTTCAGCCAGATGGAAACAACAGCAAAACCCCACTGACCTGACTCTTCAGGTCCCTTACCCCAGTTCAACTAAGCCAAGTCCTCCACAGCTGCAAAACCTTTGAGGGCCATACCACTGAACTTCAGGCCAACACACGATGCAGAGGGAGCGGGAGAGACCCTGCCCTGAGGGGCCCCCTCTGTAACACACCGTAACGGTAGCCAGAGCGCACTGCTGATGGGGTTCTGCGTGCTCCGGGGCCGAGGGAGCCAGTACAGATTCATGGACAAACAACACGTGACCAGTCCAGCCCCTACACTTTCCCCAGCCTAATTGATACAGAAGACGGTTCCCCAAAACACACCCATGTATTACAGCTAATTTCACATTCTGAACTCTTTTCCCTGTTTTCACTCAAGGGGGCCGTCGAAGAAACCCACGGAGTGGACATTCCGCCCCCTGTGAGGTAGCTTTGAAGAGAGATCTGAGATTGCTAAGCAAGGGGGAAAAACGGAAACGTTAATTCAAAACAACTGCCCAAAGCCGAGCAGGAGCGCCTCCCGCTCCCCGGCCTCGCGAGTCGGAGGGAAGGGAGGGGGTCGAGTGCAAGCGAGTGAACGATTGCACAGTCTAAAGTCAACACGGCCGTGCTTCTCCCTTTCAAAGGGCGGCCACAACGGGGACTCCGCGATCCCAACACCTCGCTCGGTAGCTTCAGATGGACTTGAGGGACAAACACGTAAGGAACCGGCTGCCCTGCCCTGCCCTGCCCGCGCGGCCCACTCCGCCAGGGCTTCGGGGAGCCGCCGTCCTCTCGGCACCCGGGCCGGGGCGCCGCCCGAGAGACCCGCGCCCGGGCCGGAAACGCCCCGGCCGACCCCTCGCCGCGCCCCGGGAGTGCAGAGGGCGGCGCCGGCCGCTCGCGCCCCTCCCCCGCCCGCGGCGGAAGCGCCTCGGGTTTGAAAGATGCCGCGGCCCGCCGAGCCACAAAGGGCTGAGCGCCCCCTCCCGCCGCAGCCCTGCTCCTCCGACCCCCCCACCCCGACCCCGACCCCGACCCGCGCGCCGCCGGCTCACCGGAGTCGCTCAGCCCCGAGGGGTGCGAGACGGCCCCCAACAACACCGGGAGCGGCGGGGGCGTGGCCCTCCCGCCGCGGCCAGGACCCGGGTCTCGCCGCCGCCGCCGCCTCTTCCTTCCGGTTGCGCCTCGACTCTCCCCGCCCCGCTCGGTCAGCCCAGCGCGGAAAGCAGCGTCCTTTGCGGGCGCCGCCACACACTCCTCCAGGGCCCGACCACCGCCAGACTCCTCCCCCGGGAGCCGCACCGCCTCGTCAGCCCCGGACCGCGAGACGCCCGGCTCGCCGCCCGCGCCGCGCCCCGCCCCCGCCGCGCACTCGCGCCCTCCGCCGCGGCCCGGAAACGCGCGGGCCGCGGACCGTTGGCCGCCCGCGGGCGCGCCCGCCCCGAGCTCCGCTTCCCTCCCCTCCGCTCGCGCGCGCCCGCCGCCGCTGCCGGCCACTTCGCAGTTTCCCGGGTTCCCGAGACCATCCCCCGCCCCCCGCCCGCACTCCGGCTTACCCCGCCCTCTTCCTCTGCCGGATCCCACCGGAAAGCCCAAACAATTGGGGCCGCGCAGGCGCGGGAGGGGAAACGGAAAGAGCAGGCCGGGCGGGGGCGGCGCGCGGTGACGGCGAGCGTAATTGAAGGGGGTTCCCGGGAAGGTCAGGGAGAGCCCGCGGAGGGCGCATGCGCGGGGGCCCGCGCGCGGGCTGTGGCGCGAGACCCCGCGATCGGTGTGTGGAGGGGAAGGGCGAGGCCGGCGGAGTCTAGGCAGCCAGCCAGCCAGCCAGCCAGCCAGCCAGTTCTATTCCCCGGGCCCTGTGGCGTGGCCCCTCGAGTACAGCGATAGCTGCGGGCTGCGCCGGGGTGGAGGGGGATCCGCTCGGACCAAGCGGTACCCGCGCGAGGGAGGGAGAAGTCTGGGGGCGCTGGGCCCCCCTCTCCTCAGCCCCTGCTCTCCAGGACACGCCCGCTGCTCCCCGAAGCGCGCTCGTTTTCCCCCCGAGGCGGAGGACAAACTCCAGAGCAGCACCGGAAGGGGCCCGCGGCTCGCGCGGGAGGGTGCGGGGGCGACGCTCGCGCCCCGCGGCCCGCAGTCGCTTTCTGCTGCATTGCGGCGACTCCCACCCCCGCCCCAGCGAGTTCCAAAGGCGCACCTTCGGCTGTGCTGCAGGAGGCCGAGCGTTTGTAGCAAGCAAATGGCCGTGGCCCTGGCGAGGCGCAGCCTGTGAGCACCCGGGAGGCTGTCGATTTGCTAGGAGTTATTCATGGATCAGAAAGTTGTCGGAAATGCCCACACAGACTCCACCTACCTTCCTGACTTGCACTCTTGGCACGAGCCCCGTCGGGAGAATGTAGATGACTAATTATAAACGAAAAGCTCACACAGTAGTGTAGGGAGCCTTTCCCGTGGGCTCGGCTAGATCAACAGCAGACCGAGATGTGTGCTTTCTGGAGCTGCTGATGAAAGATCTGTTTTACAGTGGATTTTAGGACTAAATTCATTCAACAGATCTTGTCTGAGCAACAAATCTTTATTGAGTTCCCAGGGTGCTGGCGCTGAGCTTCATGTTTGAATGTTTTTAAGTGTTTGGAAACCAAACAATGAAGAAGCCTTTGAAACGCAGAGGGAGAGAGAGAGAGAGAGAGATTTCCCACCTACTGGTTCACTCCCCAAATGCCCACAACAGCTAGGGCTGGGCCTGGCTGTTGGTGACAGGGACCTAATGGGGTCAACACCTGCTGTCTCCCAGGATGTGCGTTAGCAGGAAACTGGATCAGAAGCTGAGCTGGGACTCAAATCCAGAGACTTACTACGGAATACAGGAGCCCCAAGCACCATTCTCACCGCGGTACTACAACCCTAAAATCAGTTTAACAAATACTATATGCCAGGCTGGTGTGTGCTGAAAAGTGTAATCAACAGCGAACAGAACCCATGGCAAGGGTTTTGTAGGCAACTGGGATCCATTTACGGTTTTTAAGCAGGAGAATGTAAGACTTGAGAAAAATAATTCTGAAGTACAGAAAATGTTGGATTGGAAGCAGATACTAAGGGAGAATGTTAAAACAGTTCAGATAGCTGTTGGAGAGAGCACAAACTAGTGTCAGAATAGGAAAGCTGAAATGGATTTGAAAACCACTTAGGTATAATAAACAAGACTTGGTTATCAAGAGGGAGAGTGAGGAAAAATGAGCCAAAGATGACAGTTTTACAGTTTGGGTGCTTAGATAATAATATCAGTAAGTATAGCAGGAGGAGGAGTATCAGGATGAAATAAAGAACGAAAAAGGTGTCATTTTAATGGCCGTACAGTTAGGAATACATTTGGGTGCAAGTAAAATAAAAGATTCCATTAGAACAGTTTAAGCTGGAGGCCGGCAATGTGGCATAGTAGGTTAAGCCTCTGCCCGTGGTCTTCCATATGAGCACCAGTTCACGTCCTGGCTGCTCTTCCAATCCAGCTCTCTGCTATGGCCTGGGAAAGCAATAGAAGATGGCCCAAATCCCTGGGCCCCTGCACCCATTGTAGCCATTTCGGGAGTGAGCCAGTAAATCCAGGATTCTCTCTTTCTTTGTCTCTCTCCCCATCTCTGTAACTCTGCCTTTCAAATAAATAAATTAATTTTTTAAAAAGTCTCGGAGAGCATCTGAATGTCAGTGGAGCCTGTAATGCCTGCAGAACTGAGAAGGCACGCTGAGACCAAAGAATGAAGAAGAGCGCTCCATAGAGGAATAAAAGAGATCGAGGAACCACTGTACTCCAAAAGCTGTACCTAGGAAACATTATTTATTTATTTATTTATTTATTTATTTATTCGAAAGTCAGAGCTACACAGAGAAAGGTCTTCCATCTGACGGTTCACTCCCCAATTGACCGCAACGGCCAGAGCTGTGCCGATCTGAAGCCAGGAGCCTCCTCTGGGTCTCCCACATGGGTCTCCCATGTGGGTGCAGGGGCCCAAGGACTTGGACCATTTTCTACTGCTTTCCCAGGCACATTAGCAGAGAGTTGGATTGGAAGTGGAGCAGCTGGTTCTTGAACTGGTGCTCATATGGGATGCTGGCGCTTCAGGCCAGGGAGTTAACTCCCTGCACAACAGCACCAGCCCTGAAACTTATATTTATTAAATATAAGCTTTCAAAAATCAAAGAGATCAGGTACAAGCATTTGGCATAGCAGGTGAGATGCCTCTTGGCACGCCAGCATCTCATATTAGAGAGCCTGAGTTCAAGTCCTAGCTCTACTCCCAGTCCCACCTTTGTGCTCTAAAGCAGCAGGGGATGGCTCAAGTAGTTGGTTCCCTGCTACCCATGTGGGAGACCTGGATTGAGTTGCCAACACCTGGATCAGCTCCTGTCTGGCCCTGGGATCCAGCTGCTGTAGGCATTTTGAGGGTGAAACAGCAGATGGGAGATTTATCACTATCTCTGTTTCTCTGCCTCTTTACATAAATAGAAAATAAATGAGAATTTTTAAAAAAGAATAGGAGTGAGCATTGTGGCACAGCAGGGTAAGCTGCTGCTAGGAAGGCTCAAATCCAAATTGGATTGCCTGGTCTGAGTCCCAGCTATTCCCTTCTAGTCCAGCCTCCTGCTAATACTCATCCTGGGATAGAGTTCCAGAGTCCTGGCTTCAGCTTGGGTCAGCCCTGGTTGTTGTGGCATTTGGGAGTGAACCAGTGATTGGAAATCTGTCTTTGTTGTTCTCCTTTAAAATACACATTAAAAAACAATAAAGAGGCCGACGCCGTGGCTCACTAGGCTAATCGTCCGCCTAGCAGCGCCGGCACACCGGGTTCTAGTCCCGGTCGGGGCGCCGGATTCTGTCCTGGTTGCCCCTCTTCCAGGCCAGCTCTCTACTGTGGCCAGGGAATGCAGTGGAGGATGGCCCAAGTGCTTGGGCCCTGCACCCCATGGGAGACCAGGATAAGTACCTGGCTCCTGGCTTCGGATCAGCGCAGTGCGCCGGCCGCAGCACACCGGCCGCGGCAGCCATTGGAGGGTGAACCAACGGCAAAGGAAGACCTTTCTCTCTGTCTCTCTCTCTCACTGTCCACTCTACCTGTCTAAATAAATAAATAAACAAACAAACAAACAATAAAGAGGGGCTGGTGCTGTGCCTGAAGCATCGCAGGTTCAAGACCCGGCTGCTTTCCGATCCACTTCCAATCCAGCTCTCTGCTATGACCTGGGAAAGTAGTGGAAGATGGTCCAAGTCTTTGTGCCCCTGCACCCATGTGGGAGAACCTGAAGAAGCTCCAGTACCCTGGCTTCAGATCCGCACAGCTGCAGCCGTTATAGCCAATTGGGGAATGAACCATCGGGTGGAAGACCTCTCTCTGCCTCTCCTCTGTGTAACTCTCACTTTCAAATAAATAAATCTTGGAAAAAAATAATAGAAAGCCAGAATTACAGAGAGAGAGAAGGAGAGACAAAAAGATTTTTTCAGGCTAATCCTCTGCCTGCGGCGCCAGTACCCCAGGTTTCAGTCCTGGTTGGGGTGCCGGATTCTGTCCCGGTTGCTCCTCTTCCAGTCCAGCTCTCTGCTGTGGCCCAGAAAGGCAGTGGAGGATGGCCCAAGTGCTTGGGCCCTGCACCCGCATGGGAGACCAGGAAGAAGTACCTGGCTCCTGGCTTCGGATTGGCGCAGTGCCGGCCGTAGCGGCTATTTGGGG